CGGCCGCGGGCACCGCCCCGCGCGTGCGCGGCGGGCGCGGGGCGGCCGCGAGGGGCGGGGGCGGCGACGGCGCGGAGGGAGCGGGGCTGAGGTGAGGGAGCCGAGCGGGGCTGAGGTGAGACCCGCACCCCACGGAACCCCCGGGGGCGGTCCCGGCGGCGCGGGGGGCGGCCCCAGGACCGGGCCTGCCGGGGAGGGGGGGGCTCGGGGCGGTCGGGACCAGCTACCGCGGGCGCCGAGGGTTGTGAGGGAGCGGCTCACGGGCGGGCGGGCGGCCGCGGATCTGCCCCCCCCACGCGGCCCGCGGGAGAGGAAGGTGTCGGCCCTCTCTGTAGGTGTCACTTAATCGCCGAGACTGAAGTTTTACTGGTGCACTGAATGGGTGCTGGCTGCTCTTTAGACGTGTCCCGGCAAAAATCACGTGGGAAGCATAACATGGGAAAAAATACCCCAAACGAAAATAAGCCGTTTATTGCCCAGTAATGCGATAAACCCACGGACGGCAGCGAAGAGGCTTCTGGGCTGTCACACGAGCCCCACGTTGCCTGTGCCCTGCCATTAACTCTCCTTTCCCCACGGTGTCCCAGCCCCTCCAACGCTTATTATGCTTTTGTGCCACTCTTTTTTTTTTTTTTTTTCCCCTCCCTCACTAATTTTCTGCTGATGTCCCGTAAGCAGTGCTGTGGCACAGGCTGTGAGCAGTCACGCCAGGGAAGGGTGAGCTTGGCGAGCTCCATGGGCGTGCTCTGAGACCCAGTTAAACGTGTTGCAACCCTTGCAACTAACCTGCCTTAAACTGGTAATGCTGCTTTTAAAAGGATCGTAGAATCATTGTGTCCTTTAGGTTGGAGAAGACCTGCCAGCACCTGGTGGTGCTGCTGTTTGAGCCAAAGCTCCACGTGGGTACTGAGCTATGCCTGCTTTACCTGGACGCTGAAGTGTCAAGTACTTTGCAGGACGATCCTGTTTCTTGATAAGTTTCTGCTGTAATGTGACCAACAACCAGCTCAATTCAGGGTTTTTTTTTTTGTTTGTTTCAGAGGTGTCCCCAAAGCATGGCAGTCAAATGGACTGGTGGACATTCCTCCTCTGTCCTGTGCCTGACTGTGAGCGCAGAGGGGCTGGTGGTGTCCGGGGCGGAGCGCGGGGAGCTGGCGCTGTGGGATGGGGGAGGCTCTCCAGGGAGACAGCTCCGGCTCCCGGGGGAGGAGGACGTGACCTCCGTGGTGTTCTCTGCCCGCCGCCCCAGCACCCTGTACACCTCCCACGGAGAAACCATCAGCGTGCTGGATGTCCGGGCCCTCCAGGAGCCCCTGGAGCGCTTCCACGTGAACGAGGAGGAGATCAACTGCCTCTCCCTGAACGACACTGACAGCTTCCTGGCCGCGGCAGATGACTCGGGGGCCATAAAGGTTGTGGACTTGGAAAGCAAGAAAGCCATACGGTCCCTGAGACACTCCAACATCTGCTCCTCTGTCGCCTTCCGACCTCAGCGGCCTCAAAGCCTGGTTTCCTGTGGACTGGACATGCAGGTGATTTGCATACACGTAGATGGTTATTAGTGAAGTGAAACAGTAACAACCCACCTGTCCTAGTGAGGCGCCCACAGACTTTCACTGAAAGTGGAGGTGTCCAGCCTGCAGTCACTGGGAAGCTCCATCACTATTCAAAAGTAGTTTGGGCCCAAAAACCAAGTGTCAAGTCTGTTTGTGCCATTTTCTACTCAGCAGTTCCTCTCCCTGTTTTTATCTTCCTCAATATTTACAATCCAAAAGTGAGCGGGGTGGGAGGAAATCACAATACAGTGCAAAGCTCCTTTACTACAACGTCTTTCCAAGTGGAGCATATCACTGTAAGGACAAGTCATTTTTACAACTCATCCTTTGTTCTGATTGATCTCTTGGAAGCATGAAATGTTCTTTGCCTTTTTCTCTGTCCTCATCAAGAGGAAACTTTGTCCTTTGCCTTCTGAGAAGAACCATGCTGGGAGTTAAGTTCAGAGCCTGCCACTCAGAACAGATGTTTTTCAGTAATTTCTTTCCAGTGGTTGAGATCTGACCACATTCCTGGTTTAGCCCGAGATGGAAACTGTCACTTCTCAAAGGTTTCTGTGGTTCCAGCGTGTCAGGGTGAAGTTTGTTTGACAGCACTGAACAGTTTCACTTTGTGTTCTTGAAACCAAAGCACATCTCAAACCCATTAGAGCAAATACATGCTGGTAGTTAGGATAAATGGTAATTTTCCACATTAAATTCCTGATGATAGATCTAGTCTGAGAAGAGTAAATGCTTGGTGCCTTAGCTGGCTTAACTCAGGACCCTAAAATGCAGATTCACAAGCCTGGAAGCTTTTTATCAGAATTGTAAGCATTTATATACCACTAGGTGCAAGTGAGCTGGTTATTTTTTTTTGTGACTTTTTAGTATTAGTTTCTTTTATTGTAGCTCAGCAAGCTGGGTTTTAGACGAAAGTCAATATCCCAAAAGAGTTGGAATTCATTAGTGTGTTTTTATATAGTGAAAAGAGCATTTTTCTGCATCGAGGCTGCCTTTAAGATGCATCATTTCCCAAAGGGGAGCTGAGCTGCAGAGCTCTGGAATGCTGTGGTGCAGCATGTCTTTGGACAAGTTACGAGCTCTACGAGCATCAAAACATGTTCTGGATTCACACATCAAACCCTCGGGGAAGCCGTGGCTGGTAAGAACTGAAATTTAGGTTGCTGCAGTTCTTTCAGGAGTTCCAAGGAAGCAGGGAAAATGCCACGAGGACAGAAAATACTTGGTCTGCAGGAAACCTGTCAGCAGTTGATGGATTTATCAGGCTGTTGCAGTGCTGTCTGTGATGGAAAAAGGAGTATTTTCTGTAAGCATCACCCAGCCTCTCTGATTTACCAATCACAGTTGTGGAAAGTTTTCCCTTTCATCTGTAGCAAAGTAGTTTTAATGCAGCAGCAAGAGCAGTCACTGAAACAGGAAGGTGACAGGAAATGATGTGCTGCAGATGTTTTAGCGTGACTTGGATTCCAGAAACGCAGAGCCTGGGTGACAGCTCCTTTGTGGCCCAAATTTAAAGACTTCTGGTGATTACTGCTGGTGATTACTACTGGTGATTGACTACTGAAGGAATATTTTTATCAACAACAAATTAAAGCTTAGCTTTATGAAGCAAACAGCACACCAGTGCTGCATTAGACTGAGCTGTGCTTCTGGCTCTGTTGGCCTTGAAAATGCTTATTGTCAATTCATATCCCATGAAAGTCTTGAGAGAATTATTTTTAATTGGCTCAGTATAAATCTGTAGTGCTTGAAGTGCTGTATGAGAGACCCGGGATTCGTGTGAAGGCACAGTTATCACTTCAGGGGGGGCTTGGGGGTGGGGTGGCATTTGAAAAGCAAGGCTAAAAGCACAACCTCCCCCCCATCTCTTCAGGAAAAGCACACCCTACTCGACAGCACAAACCAGATCTACTCACTGGATATAAAAAGAAATACAAATACGCCTGTTTAAAAATTAGAGCCTAAGCTGCTGTTTGCATTTCGCTGTCCCATTTTTCAGACACGTTCAGGGAGATGATTATTTTAGGGCAAGTGCGTAGCAGAGACAAAAATCCAGAATGATGCTGATCTCTATTCACTGCGAGCGTTTCCATGTCCCTCCTTCTCAATAATTGATGTGCAGGACGTCAGGATTGCTATTGCTGAGATGAATGCAGAGGCTTTTAGAGCAGTGTTTGCATCCCCTTCGTGGTCTAAAGGTCTGAGTCACTGACTGCAGAGTATGGCAGTGGGGGTTTGGAAACCAGGCTGGAAAGATTTGCCATATTTATCAGGGCATCTTCAGCCCCTCCTCGCCGCACACCCTACACCTCTTGCACTCATGCACAGCCTTTGCTCTGCTAGAACAAGAAGTGTGGTGGTTTATTTTTACTGTTAAAAATCTGATTTTGTGTGAAATGGACAAATCATTGATTCGTCCTGCGTTTTTTTTCCCCAGGTCATGCTGTGGAACCTGCAGAAAGCTCGCCCCTTGTGGACCACAAACCTGCAGGAGTGTGGCCTGGAGGACGACAGCCCACAGTCGGCCGGGCAGTTCTTCAACCCGCCGCTCGCACATTCCCTGTCCGTCGCCTCCTGCGGAAACGTCTTCGGCTGCGGAGCTCAGGACGGTAAAATCAGAATATTCCGAGTCACTGGTGTCAAGTTTGAACGTGAGCTGGAGTTCCAGGGTCACAGCTTGGGAGTCTCCCAGGTCCTCTTTATGCCAGAGGCGTACTGGTTGTTGTCTGGAGGAAACGACGGGAAAGTCCTGCTCTGGGATGTCGGCAGCGAGGTTGGGAAGCAGCAGAAAAGTCCAGCAAAATCTCTGCAGAGGAGGAAGGCCCAAGCACCTGCTTCCAGCAGGAAAAATGGGAAGCTCAACAAAGTGTCCTCAAGTGAACAGGCTGGAGTTGTGCCAAAGCTCACCATCGAGCACGGAGAGAAGGTGAACTGGCTCTCGTGCGCAGAGATCAAAGGCTCCAGGAGGGTGTTGGTCGCTGACCAGAGCAGCTCTGTGTCGGTGTATCCCTTGCCAGAACTGTAAATGCCCAGGTGTTTACAGACATTGGGGGGGCAGAACCACTTCTCAGAGCCAGTTACATCCACTGACAGTGACCTGGCCAGTGAACCCCCATGTCCCTTGGAAGGGGAAGGGATTTGCTGTGCGCTCGTGGTGTCCCTGGCCTCGTGCTGGTTCTCTGTGGCTCTTGTGTTCACAGCTGCCATCTCCTGCAGGGTTGGCAGTTTGCTGCTTGAATTAAGTGAAACGGGTCTTTATATTTAGGGGGGTATCAGTCCATGACTAAGCTGATGTAATTAAGGCTGGAAGAGGAAATCAGCACTGAGGGGACACCCCAATGCTGAGTGAGGGTGCTGAGCAGTGACAGGGCTGTGCTCTGTGGGGTTTGCACTGTTGCAGTGCTCTGTGAGACTCTCCCCATGAAGCTGTGGCCCAGTTGGGTTAAACCAGCTGTAGTGGAATCTGTTTTCCATCATTCTGTCAGCATCTGCATGTAAGACTAGAGAAGCATCAATTAATGAGCAATAAAATGAGTTTCCCTGTTGCCAATTGGCTTTGCTCACGCTGCAGTAAAGGAGGGAGCAGGGGAACTGTTAACACCTGTTTGATGGCTCAGCTGTCAGTTGTTTATCCCAGGGAAAGAGAACTATTACACTTAAATAAATGCCTTCTCTCTCACTGTTCCCTTGTGCTTAGACTCACTCTAATATTGCCAAACTCACACAAAACTGTGTCAAAAAGTGTATTATACCCCTGTCAGAGGGGGAATATGAAGGCCCAAAGGCATGGCTTCTGCTTACCTAAATACTTCATCTTCCCAGAGCTTTGGAAACAAAATGAGCAAAACTTGGCTTGCTAGAAGCACCTCTTCATTTGCAAACTGAAGGTAGGAAGAACTAAGTGGGAATGCTGCAGCTCTTGACATGTTCAGTTCATGCTGGATTTCCCATGGAATGGGCAAATAATTTAAAAAAGAGGGTTTTTTCTCCACAGCCTGTCCTTTACCTGTCACAGAACTGAATTCCTGGTGCTGGCTGAGGACCTGCTGCACTGATGGGGAGTTTGTGCTGCCTTTTCTACCAGCTGGGCTGTTACCACACCCATATTACTATCATGGAAAAATTTCCAGGTCTTTTTCTTGCATACCCAGCTCCTGATAATTATTAGCTGGCAGTTCTGGCTCTCCATCCTTTATAGAAGAGATTCCAGCTGTCTTGGTTTAGCTCAAAGCAGCTCCCTGCAAACAGACACAACTCACTCTCATCCAAATCTGATTTTACCATCCTATCATTTTTAATTAAAGAAACCAAAGGCAATCTGCTTGTGCAGCCTTCCCCAGCAGGAGACTGTGGCCCAGCACATGAGCTGGTGGGCACCACAGCAAAGTGAAGCCAAAACACAGCACAAAATAAAAAACAGAACAGTGTAATTTCCTCCTTGTGTGTCACCTCTGAATTAGTTTATGTGGTCAGTGGGGCAGAGGAAGGGGTTCAGGTGTGTGGTTCGGTGTGTGATATATCCATGAGCATGTGCTGGTGCATCCATGACCTATATTTGGATATACGGGCTATAAAAAGCCTTGGAACAAACAACCTCCTGCAGGACCCGGCTCCCCTGTCCCTGCTGTTGCTGCCGGCTTCAGGAGAGAGGAGCAAGCCCACTCCAGCTTTTATTTCTCCTCTTGGTGTTCTCCAGGAAGATGGCTAAAGGCAGCATCTCCCTCCGCTCCCTGAATGAGACGCTGAACAGGTCTGAGCAGCACTGGAAGGGGACGGGAGGGCTGGGGCAGGAGACCAGGCAACCCGTGAGCATGGCAAAGCTGTGAGCGTGGCAAACCCGTGAGCATGGCAAAGCTGTGAGCATGGCAAAGCTGTGAGCATGGCAAACCCATGAGCGTGGCAAAGCTGTGAGCATGGCAAAGCTGTGAGCATGGCAAAGCTGTGAGCGTGGCAAAGCTGTGAGCATGGCAAACCCATGAGCGTGGCAAAGCCGTGAGCATGGCAAACCCGTGAGCATGGCAAAGCTGTGAGCATGGCAAACCCGTGAGCATGGCAAAGCTGTGCTTCCCTGGAAACACCCGTGGGGAACGGGGTGTACACACACAGCGTGTGTATATGGGGAGGGAGTGGTTCATGAGCAGTCTGACTTCTCCTTCACTCACTGGGGAGGGAAGAGGGACGCAGCCACCAGCTCCATGGTGGTGGTCAGTTCCGTGGCTGCAGTCCTGGCTGTTTGCTGCAGGATTTGGGCAGTGGCTCCACCAGCCAAGGCCTGCAGCTGGATGAGGTGTTGCCAGGTGATTTGTAACCCACAGGAAGTTCAGGTTTGCTGTTGTTAATGGGAGATTTGGGATGAATTACCAAATTTTGTAAAACGCCTCAGAGTCTGGAGGATTCAAAGATCTGGAGTAAATGCTTATCATTAGCAAAACAAACAAACAAACAAGAATGGACCTTTCTTGTAAGTTTAAAGAAAGCAAATCAGTGTTTCTGCAGGATCAGGACATGGGTGACGCTGATTCACCCTCCATTTCCAAAGCCTGCCCTCGGCAGAGGAACGTGACCAACAGGTTCACTGGCTTCCTGTAAAACAATCCAGCCCCAGCTGCCCCTGCTGGCACCGCTCCCTGTGCTTGGCTCAGCTGCCAGGGGACAGTGGCTCAGATCAGATACAGACCATGAGCACAGATCTTCAGGAGAAAAGAGTCAAAAACGGGTCTGGAATTCTCAGCAGTTAGAGACTGGCAGGATACTGTTCCCTCACAGTGGATTTTCACCTCTAGGTTTTCATATTACTATGAAGGTGGTGAGGCCCTGGCACAGGTTGCCCAGAGAAGCTGTGGCTGCCCCATCCCTGGAAGTGTCCAAGGCCAGGCTGGACAGGGCTTGGAGCAACCTGGGCTAGTGGAAGGTGTCCCTGCCCGTGGCAGGGGGTGGAAGGGAATGATCTTTAATGTCCCTTCCAGTCCAAACCATTCTGTGATTCTATGAGGTGTTGCCTTTACAGTATCAAGACATTTTTAAGCCAACTCAGCTGTCACACATAGAATGTGATTTACCTGCAGTAAAAACGATCACTATCAAGAGCATCACAGCCAATGGGATGCAGTACTTCTGTTTAGGAAATGAACGATTAGGTGTTGACAGACTGACAGCTGACAGACTTGGAAAGAAACTGCTCCTCTCCTCGAGATACTAACAGGGTTCCCTCCCTCAGCTTTTATGACTCCAAACAGTGGTGACCACAAAAATAGATACTAGAGACCTGACCCAAGGGAGAAACACTGGAACTACTCCTGAAAGAAAAAAAGTGAAAATTACATCTGTGGTAAACTTCTTGAAGAAGTGTCTGAGTGAGTGAGTGAACAGGGAGAGCTTGGAGGCTGCACTGGCCTGGAAAATAAAACCCACATGACAGCTCTAAAATGTCATTTTCTGTAAATGCCTGAATAGCAGAACTAAGGTTACCCATACAGCCACACTTTCAGAGAAGTGGGAATGCTGCTTCCAAGTATGTTCTGTGTGCTAACTAGAGAGAGGGGAATTTTAAATAGCTTTCTGGTAAAGAATGGGGATGTGGTTTGTGTGTACACTAGCCAGAGTCAGAGGTCACTGACTCAGTGGTAACTTCACTCACACTAAAGGAAAAGTGTTCAGAGGTCATGATTGAAATGAAAGCAGGAGGTTTAATCTGTCCTTCCCCGTTTTGTTCTAAACTTGGATCAAGAGGCAGCAGCACCGAGTGTATCAGAATTCACTAAAAGCTGTAGGAGATGGGCCCTACTGTGGTGTAACTAAACTGATGTTTTTAGACCCCAAATTAGCAAATGCTGAAATGTTTGTTACAGGTGCTTAAAGATACATAAGATTAACTTACAGACGGGCAATATCCCCCCCAAAAAAGTGCTGGAGAGACAAAAATGGTTAACTGGTAAAGCAGTGGACTAAAAGGCTGCTGAGAAACAAACTACAGCACTGACTGTAGCATGAGTGATGAGATCTTCGATAACTTTCTTTGTAGAGGAGAAGGGCCGACAATGGGCCACGAGGAAGCTTATTTACCATGATAAAAAGCTGCAAAACAGGGAGCAATTCACCGGCGGCGAGTATCTCCCCCAGGACACTGATTTTCTGACACCCCCCCTCTAAAACTCATTCACACCTCAGTTTATCCACTTGCTCTCTCTGTGCTGAGGGACTCGATCTCTTTATGGCACATCAACCCTTCCAATTCTTCTCAACTCTGCATTTGTACATCGCACAAACTCAATTTTCCCATTAAAGGTCGGGTTTAGTCCCCAGATTCTTGCTGAGGCAAGAGGGGTCCTGCCGCAGGAAGATGAGCTTTCTCGGGGCTGCAGAGGAAGTCTCGTAGCCTCAGGAAACAACAGAAAATCGAGGATGTGCTCAAGTGGCCAGACAATGAATTAAGGTCTGGGGTACTTAGTAAAATGTGCCACAGTTGATGTCTTTTTATTTTTTCGTCGCTCAGGTCAACTGCAGACAGAATCCAAAGTAAGCCTTGGAGAAGGAGGTGGCAGGAGAAGAGGCAGGCAGGGAGAGGGGGGAGCTTCTGTTAGGGAAAAAATGGCATTCTTGGTCCTTCTCTTATAACAACTGGCTTTAAAATACCTTGGAGTACTTGTGAAAGAATGGAAAACTATGGGTAAATTATCTAATCTGCTGTTCATACAGTATAAAATTAATTTGTTTGTTCGGAGGGTTTTGTTTGGGTTTTTTATTTTTTAACGTCACCACCTGAAAGCTGCTTGTGTATTTTTGTACAAAAAAAGCCAAAGATACGCATAATAGTGCCACAACAAACAAGGCAAAAGACCTGAATACAGTGTTTAACACAAGTAGGTCACAATTCAGAACTCCATTCCCTGAACATTGGAACAATACAATAATAGTAACAGAAGCAGTAGGGCAAACTGGGGGTGGAGAAAGAGAAGCTAAAGGAAAAAAATTAGCAATGGTGCAGTTTCTGTTTAGCTAATATAGTCTGAAGTTCTGCCAGTAAAACAGAAAAGAAAAATCGCAAAAAATTCTCTAAGAAGTAGCTGATGCTCTACTAATAAACCACACATTGCCTACACAGTAGTGAGACAGCTGTTCAGTATTTAGGAAGGAACTTTGAAGGATTTCTATCTCGATAGCTTTAAGATCCTCAGGACTCTCAAGAACGTGCCTTGTGCCAATCAGATAACAGAGGAAAACTATCTTTCCAAAACCACCTGAGGGGACAGAAGCCCAGCACAGCCTGTCTCTCCAGCAAAGAAATGGGCTCAAAGCATAAATACTTGCATTGCCTTGTAGTTTCTCCCTAAATACACCAAATTCTCTTAAACCGGGCAGTTTTCTTCAGCAAAAGTGGAGTGGAATAGCTCAAAACTCAAACCCTCTTCTTTGGTCTTATAATTTACGATTTCAAGTAAGGAAAAATACAACAGATACCAAGTAATGAAAAGCAGTTAATAAATAGAAGCTATGAAGCAGTTTTTATCACAGAGCTGTTCCGTGGAAGAACAGTCCTATAAAAGGGAGAACCAGAACAGGACGAGCTGATGGGAGAAGAGAAACACTGCAGGTGGGTTTTTTATTATTTGCATCATTCTTACTCTGAGGAGAAATAAGAAGGCATCAAATAAAAATGATTCAAAACACCATGATACTACAAATAAAAGCATAAATTACCTCAAAACGCATTAAAAAAACCCCAAACACCTGTGCCACTAAAAATGCAAATGGTTGAGACCTGCAAATACACGTCCACACTGATTTTGCAGCTGTTTTTAGAAGTTGTAAGACCTCCACACCAGGAAAGGGCCAAAAAGACATGGGGTGTGAAGAAAAAAAAAAAAAACAACAAACAAAAAACCAAAAACAAACCAAACGTGATTTTTAGTGGTGCGTGTTCTCGCAGCTTGGGCTCTGGAGCTGTTCACAGCGCAGTGCCGCGGCAGAAAGCCCCAAACCCTTCTGAAATTCCCTCCCCCTCGTCTCGCACCCCTCAGGGTGGAAGGCAGGCTGCATTCCCTGGAGGCTCGGTTCGCGGCTCTGGACCGCAGCCTGCAGGGGCTGCAGCTGCGCTTCGACCTGCAGGCGGAGGTGCTGGAGCGGGACCTGCGGCGGGACGTGCCCTGGGCTCCCGAGGGCAGGTGAGCGCTCCCAGGGACGGCCCCAGCCCCTGAGGGCAACCACGGCGCTTCTCCCGGCAGCAGGGCAGGATCGCTTCCCAATGTCCTGCCTCACCCGTTAACCCTTCCTTGTCGCATCGCCACAGGGAATCCCACCTCCGCACTCAGAACCCGCGGGCTCCACCTCCCAGCAGGCTCGGCGGCGGAGGAGGTGAAGAAGAAGAAGAAGGAGGAGGAGCCGGCTCCCTCAGCAGGACGGCGGGAAGGGCTCCGTGAGGGGCGGGGCGCGGCCGCCATTGCGGGGCCTGTCGCGGAGCCGCAGGGTGGGTGCCGAGCGCTCGCTGGGAGCCCTGAGGGGCCGGGACTGAGCGGGGACGGGGGGGGGAGAGCCTTTATCTCTGAGCACCCGCGCCCCCGGGGGTTATTTTTCTAGTCAATAAAAACCAGCGGAAGTAGTAAAACCCGCCTTAAAGCGTGTTTGTCGCCATGGCGAGTTCTGTGTGGGGAATCGCAGCCTTTCTCTCAAGGACCTCCTGTGGCTGCCTGTTTAAGAAGCTTGTAACTTATAAATCGGTGGTTTTATTCTTTCTGCTGCATGTGTCTTATTTTCTCTCCCACAGAGGCCAAGTGGAAAAATCCCTGTGAGGAGCCAGATGATCCCCATTGTTTCAAGTCATACAAGAAGGTGCTGAAGTCTTAATTCTTCATTTATCATAGGAAAAAAGTATTTTTGCTTTTTGGTCTCAGCTTGTGCAAGCAAATGAACGAGAAAGAAGCTGCTCTGCCCTGATGATGTATTTCACCTTCAGAATGTGCTGGAAGCAAGTCTGTGCCAAAAGCAGCTTTTGAAGGACATGGATGTACTGAAAAATTGAGCAAATGGAAGGTTAAGGTAACTGGGATAACATATCCAGCATAGCTTGTGATAGCATAGCATAGATAGAGAGGGCTGGGAGAAAAGTGGAGTAATAGAAGTGGCTGGAAGAACTCTCACCTTCTTTCCCCCCTCTCTCCTCACCACTGGCTTTCCATCCCCAAAGCACCTGTTACAGCTCACAGGGAGCTGCAGTAGGAAAGCCTGGTACAGTTTTTCCATGAGTTTTGGAAAGATTTGAATCTTCACCTAGAATCTGTCTAGAATCCTGAAGTGGAGCAAAAGCAACCACTTCGACAGGCTTTCTAAATCCACTAACGTTTTCCTAAGGTTGTTGTAAAACATTTTCTGTTTTATTTTGCTTCCCATGAGGAACCTAAAACGTTTGACTTTGCTTTCAGGTCCTGATGTTGTCCTAGTCTTGTTCCTCTACCCCGAGTCAGTATGTCAACGAAATCCAAGGCCCCACTTTCCTTGTCTGACTGCCTCTGCCAAATTTGCATGGAGATCTTCGTGGAGCCCGTCACGCTGCCGTGCAGCCATACCCTCTGTAATTCCTGCTTCCAGCTGACAGTGGAAAAGGCCAGCCTTTCTTGCCCTTTTTGTCGGCGTCGAGTCTCTTCCTGGGCACGGTACAATGCCCGCAGAAATACTCTTGTTAACTGGGAGCTCTGGGAGAAGATTCAGAAGAATTACCCGGAGGAGTGCGAGAGGAGGATTAACGGGCAGGATTTGGACGAGGAAAGTAAGTGAAATGTCACTTGTCCTGGGGTGTCTTTGCTTTGCCACAGTCGTTACTGTGGGTGGACTTTGGATGTTGGGAAATGAAGAGCTGTGGGTAGGCAGGTGTGTTACTGCTGGGCAAGGCAGAGGCAGAGCTCTCCTGGGAAAGGGGCAGGGAAGAGTTGGGCAGTGCCTCTTTCATTTGTAGTACAGAGAGTAAAAATGATATTGTCAGGTCATGACAGTGGGTATTTGTTCATGCCTTTGGCACAAAGTGCTAGTGTGTAGCTGCCTGGCCTTGCAAAAGCACCAGTTTTTATTGCTCATTTTCAGCTGTAGTATCTGCAAGAAGTGTTTGGGTGTGCAGCTGTGTTTCTTTATCACTGTCAAGTAAGTGAAGTGGTTAGAAGTTTTTTAAGTCTATTAGTTTGGTTAGAGATTCCAGGGGTTTGATCAGTGCAAGTGTGTCTGAGCCTGAAATTGTAGTGCCAGAGAGAAGGAAGTGAAATCTGACTGACTTTTTGAAGAAGCATTTTGGGGTTTATTGCCTTGCAAGCTCCCTCGGGGGAGACTTGTTGGTAGGTTGGCTCTATAGCACCTTGTTCCACGTGCAGTGTTATGAGGTCTTTTTAATCACAACGAGTGAAAAACACACTTTATGGTCAGTGTACCAACACAGGATGAATCATGGAGTGGTTTGGGTTGGGAGGAACCTTAAAGCTCATCTCATTCCACCCCCTGCCATGAGCAGGGACACCTTCCACTAGCCCAGGTTGCTCCAAGCCCTGTCCAACCTGGCCTTGAACACTTCCAGGGATGGGGCAGCCACAGCTCCTCTGGGCAACCTATTCCATCATATTTACTTTACATACAGTGCTTGGAAATCCCATCCTGTTCCTGCCACTCTGTGACACTGCACTTTTCTACTGTGTGAATTTTATTACTGTGTAACACAAAGTGCTTTTATTTTTTTTTTTTTTATCACAGCACTGGATTTCAGTCAAATCATTCCCGTGACAGGGTGTGGAAGTCATCTGTTGTTAAAATAGTTGCTGACTGTCATGATCTTGCTTTGTTCCTTACTTTGGTTTTTTCCTATCCATTAGTCTGTGTCCCCAAACCACAGCACCAGCTGAGCAAGCCTGGGGAGCTGAGGCAGGAATATGAAGCAGAGATTAGCAAGGTAAGTCTAAAAATACATCTAAAAGTAAAAATACTTTGGATCCAGTTACTTGAATTGCTCCCAGTTATATGAATTGTTCCCACAAACAGCTGTTATGGTATTTAGTGATAAAGATACTTTAAAGCACATTGCAACTGCAAGAACATACTGGTCACTCCTGAAGGATGGATTAAATTTATGGAAGAAGAGAGATTTCCTTGTGTTTGACACGAGGTGACATTTCTCAGGTTTTCTTGATCTGTACTCACCTCTCAGTCAATGCACTTAAAAGTAGCAAATGTAAAAATTTGGAATTGTTTGGGCTTTGGTTTAATGCTTGCCTTACAGACCACAATTGGATGAATACAGTGTTTTCTTTCTTCTTATTCTGTTACCTCCAGTCATTTGAAAATTGGAAGAAAATATTTTTAAGAAGTTTCAGTTTTTGCCTGTTTAAGGATCCCTCTTCCAATTCAGGCACACTAGTATTAAGATTTATAGTTGGAAAATATGCAAGAATGCTCCTTTCCCTGACAGCCCCTTCCTGGTGGTTACAGGAGCAGGGGGAGTGTGTGAAGCAGAGGACTGGAGGTAATTTCCAAATTCCCTTACCCAGTAAAGAAAGATTTATTCAGTCTTGAAGTACTTTGCTGTCCTCGTGGAGTTGTTGGTAACTGATCTCTCAGTGGGTATCTGCTGTAAGGAAGGCAGAGGCAAAATTCTTGGCCTGCTGCTTTGGGTTTTGTGCATTTCAGGAGAGCAGGACTCTTCTAGAAGAGAGCTGTGCTGTCACTGGGGTATGTGATGATATAATGACATAAGCAAGTTGGGCAAACGCCGTGGAGTAGCTGCCATCCAGCCTTAGAAAGAATCTTAATCCCAGTTCCTCTGTAGATCCATGTGTTGGAGATCTTAGTTTTTGTGTGAAAAGGTGAGGAATGGAGCTCAACCTTGCAGGTGGGCAAGACTGATGGTGTCATCTGGCAGAAACCAAAAGGCTGTGGTCAAACCCAAGGCTCTGCACACGGCGTCAGGGTGATTTACACCTCTGGAGACTCGTGTGCAGTTAAATGCTGGTTGCAGTTTTTGTGAACAGCGGGTGGTTCGCATTTAAGGAGCGTCGGCTCAGAGGTTCTGGTGCAGAGTGTGGGCCTGCAGCTGTAACCAGGTGGGTTTTCAAACACTTCTGTTGTAGGTGGAGGCCGAGAGGCGAGCGCACGAACAGGAGGAGAACAAAGCAAGCGAGGAATTCATCCAGAGGCTGCTGGCAGAGGAGGAGGAGGAGAACAGGTTGGCAGAGCAGAGGCGGAGGGAGATGGAGAAACAGCTGAAGCAAGATGAAGAGCTGGCCTGGCAGCTCAGTAACAGCCTGGTGAGTTAGGGTCGAGGGGGGACAGCAGAAAACAGTGATGCACTGCCAGCAACTTCTCAGAGATAAAGCTAAAATTTGGAGTAATTTGAATTTGTTTTAGTTGTAGTTGGAAGCTGTTGTCAGCCCCCAGTACTTCAGAGCCTTGGTTGACCATTGATTTTTGAAAAACCAGCGGGAGGATCAAATACCCCAAACATTTCTACCTGTGAAATCCAGCACATATGCTGCATGTTTTCGTTGTGAAACATTTTAAAACACTGGTTTTCTCCTGAAAACTTCCTTTTCCCCATGATTTTAAAAATCTGTCTTTGGAACAAAATAATGTCTGTAACCTGTACTGGAAAAAAGGAACACACAGTGAAAATTTACCTTACCTTTTGGGGGTATTTTTGTTTTATTAATTTGTTTTGGTTAGTTGGAGTTTTTCTACCCAGTGAGGAGAGCTGTGCACTTCTTTGAGCAAATCCTCCTGTCCCTCAGTACTGGATCCAGGAAAGTGTATGGAACGTGTAGCATTTCTTATTCCATAACTATCTGTTACTTACAGTTCTGGAATTCTTTGGGCAAAAATAACTTAATTGTGCAGCAAAACCAAAGTAGTTCTCTGGGGGTTTCTCTGGTCTGTGTTGTGTTTTGTTTTATATAACACTGTTTTTACTTGCCACGGAAGAATGAGGATTCTGAGGGACACGTGCTCGGCAGCCCGTCACCAGCGCACAGCCTCTCGCCTCAAACGTCCCCAGCACACTTGTGCAAGGCAAAGAACAAACCAAGCAACACTGGAGACATTCAGAAGTAAGGGGTTCAAGTGTTTCTTGAACTGAATTATTGATCTGTTTCTTCGTATAGTGTCCCTCTGCTCCGTTTGCTTCCTTGGAATCCTGCAGGGCAACTTCCCTGGGTAATGGGGGACAAATGTGTGAAGTGTTGAAGGTTACAACATCTCCTCATATGAGAAGAAGGGAAACACTTGCCCTTCTTGTTGTTTTGGTTTGTCAGAACAAACCTGAAGATCTTGATTAATGCAAAGGGCTGACAATTCAAGGAAAAAAATGTTTAAAAGGGTGTACTTTTGGTTTTTTTCCTTTAAGGTACCTATCTCCGAAGCACCATGGTACGTTGGGACCAGCATTGTTCTGCAGTACCACAGGAAGAAGCAGGAGCAGCTCTGGCTCAGTGGTAACTGGAATCATTTTGTTATGAATCTCAGTGTTGGCAATTACAGGATATTTTCCCTTTGCCTGTAGCATTCCATCCTCTATCCCCCTTGCCCATCAGTGCTGGGCAGGTTATCTCACCCTTTTTAAGCTACCCTCAATATCCACAATTCCCAGTTCTGGAGCTTGCTGGAGGGGGGTGCACCCTGATTTACATCTTTCCATGTCTGTCTGTCTGTCTGATCATTCCTGGTAGGCCTCAAAAGAACGTGAGCAGGCCTGAATGGTTGGTTTGAGTCACTGATAAGAGCAAAACGCTGCAGTTGTGGTTTCAGTCCTTTTAGCTGGGCTTCTGGAGTTGTTTTAAATATTTTCATGATTATTAAACAATTAGGTGTTATTTTAAAAAGAGAAGTATCCAAGTTGCTCTCCCAGAGCAGTTTGGGGCAGTGCAGCTATGAGAAGTGAGACTGGCATTTATTCACACCCGTGGGCTTTTAATAAATTTACTTTCTTGGTGGTCTCTCCCTGTTCTTCAGGAGACCAAGAGCAATGAAGGCAGCTGTTCTGCATTGCAGGATGAGCAAGAAAAAATGCCGACCCTGTCTCCACAGCTGACCAGCGTAAATAAAGATTCTGATGCTAAGGATTCGTTTTTGGAATCATGCATGAACTATTTCAGTGCCTCAGCTTCAGGTGAAACCACTACTGTCAACCAGGAAAAAACACCAGGACCAAATTGTTTAGGAGATGGAGTTCCAGGTGCACTTCATGAAGCCACAGAAGGGGAAGGGTCTGGAACAGCTCTTTGTAGATCCAAAGGAATAGATGATGAAATCGAGACAAACAGTGGCAGTTTAACACGTGTAGAAAGCATAAACAGTGAAAACTCTCCTCAGACTTGTACCTCTGTTCAGTCAGGGATGAATTCCATGATGTGTGACAGGCAGAGTGCAGGATGTGGCCTGGGGAAGGTGGCTGCACACTCAGATGAAAAGGAACCAGAGGGGCTGCAGAACACTAAGGAGACTCCCAAAAGGAAGCTGCTGGAGGCCCCAGCTGATGCCGTGACTGACTCAGGGGTGCTTGACAAGAGGAGAAGAACCTGTTCAGAAAGTGTGGAAGACGAAGGGGTGCAGATTAATGACTTCAGCTTGCAAACACAAAGAGCCTTTGAGCAGGAGTTCTATGAAAGGCGTAGGCAGGAGGAGCAGGACAGGCTCCTGGCTCTGCAGCTGCAAAAGGAGCTGGACAAGGAGGAAAGGACACTCAACCGGCAGAAGGGTTCTCCAGACGAGTACCTGCTTCGCACCAAACCACCTCAGTCTCTGAAAGACTCTGCTGCTAAAAAGGGAAGTTCCAAGGTGGCCAGAGACTCAAAGGGATCAAAAAAACAGGCTGAAACCAATCACTACAAGGCTCGGAAAGGTTCCTGCAATGAAAACTGGCAGTCGCCTACCAAGGTCCGGGTGAAATCCCCCGGCATCAAGGAGGGAAAGGTTTTGAATTGTGTGGTCAATACCAGTGACAAAAACGATATTTGCTCACTGCCCAAGAACAAGCAAAAGACGATCCTGCAGATGTTCAAAAGCCCTGTTGCAGAGTAGATCAGCAGAGCCACGGCCGCGTGGCAGACTGGGAATGGGAACCGTGGGGATGTTCTCCCGCGTTAGGCAAAGCTTCCTTGGGCAGTTCCGAGTTGTTGGTTTGGAGGGGAATCCAAACCAACAACTTTGGGCAGCGGTGTTGCGAGTTCTGAGTTTTTTAGCAGTGTACGTCTTCCCCCCCAGACTTGAGCATTTCTTGATTGCTCTTTTCCTGAGTGTTATTTTCTAGCACTCGCAGCACTTCTTGCAGGACTCACGGCATTTCTCGTTCGCTAGCGCTTGGGTTTACGTGGTTTGGAATGTGAGTACCAGTAGTGTTCAAAAGCAGGGATACTTTAAAATGAGAATCCAAAGTCTTTTACGGGAAGGATGCACATTCCGTGGAGGAAGCAAGCAAAGAACGAGTCTGTATTCCCAGCTGGCTGCCAGCTGCGAGGCTCAACCCTCAGCACAACCACTGCTCTGTGAATTGAAGCATGTCACTGAAATTTTGGCTGTTTCTGGAATTGCAGCCACTCTTTCCCTCTCATATGCTAACCCCTCCCTTGGATAAAGAGGGAAGAAACAGGTCATTCTTCCACTGCCAAAGCCAAGGATCTTTCAGGGATGCCAAGGCTATGGGCTTGTATTCACCTCTATTCAGAGAGGTCCCTCCTGCAGATCCCATTTTCCTTATTGCTAAGAACAACATACTTTTGTTTTCTTACTGCTAATGTTCTGCAACTTTATTCTTCTATAATAGTGTTACCTGTATTTGGTGCCATTTAATTTTCATACTCAAACTGGTTTGAGTCTGATTAAAACCACGTAATATTAAAAAAAAAAACAACAAAACCAGTCCAGAAGCCAGTTATGATGGAGAAAGTTAAACCAAAAGGGGAAAAGCAACTGAAAACTGGAGTTGTCAGTAATGATGTAACTGCAATTAAAGATTCACATAACTGCCCTGCCTGGCTGTAACTGTTCCCCTCCATTATTAGAGGCACTACCAAATACTGTTCCCATTGGGTTTAAAACTGAAAGAACTTAAAATAAATTGTAATTTAGACCTGGGGGTACTGAGGCATGTAGGAATTTGAGGCTGGTGAAGAGTTGACCAGGTCCTACTCCACAGAGGGAAGTTCTCTTGCCAGTTGTTTTATATGTTGTTTTATGAAGTCATATTTTGGCTTTTCTTTGCTTCTTTGGAGCTGCTTTTGCACTGTTCATGTTTAAAATGGAGCCAAGCACCATCTGTAAGTGCTGAAGGGTGTTAGTCACCAAAGTCAGCAATTGTTTGAGATTTGTCCATTTTTTTTGAACCCCACTGATGACTTTAATTCTGTTTTGGGAAACTTGTAACAAAATACTTCAAATCGGTATCTTCTGATGGTTTAATTTTCAAGAAAGCCCAAATTTTATGGAAAGCATGACCGGCACACCGAGCCTAAAATCGGACTTGTTGGGTTTTTTGTTTCCCTCTGCCTGTATATGTCTCTATCAGTGGTGGGCTTCTCATAAATAAATGGTCTGTTCTGAGATGTTTTTTTGAGAAAGTTACAAAAGATGACCTGCTGCAAATCCTTCGCTTTTCCTCCTGCTGCCTCAGCCATTGTGCTGGCAGCCTTCCTTCAATAAGGATCTGGTCCTCTTTAATCCTTACCTGAGTTGAGGTTGTTTTCTGTCAACAGAAACAAATATATCCCTTCATTAATTCAGGTGTTCTTTGAGGCAGAGCTACTGGCTGTTTCCATGCTGGTGACCCTCGGCCTTTCCAGTCAGGATAAGCCAGTAAAAAATAAACTCCATTTTCAAAGCAGATGAGGAGAAAGAGCTTATTGGCTGCCCAAACCCTAAGTTTATGCCCAAGTACCAGCTTGGGCACTTGGGGACTCCCCACAATTTAATTCCACACATTAAAGGGGTAGGAGAAGCATTAGGGGTGGAGAAGGGTGAGGGAGAAGGGAGAATTTCCCTTTCTGGCAGCACTGGCTTGAAGCCACATCCCAATATGTGGATTGCTGCATTTCACACCAGCCCCCTTCCCTTTTCCTCCACGAGCTGTTCCATGGATTCTTTCTTTTCCCTTTTAATGTGTGATTATGCCTCTTCCATATAAGACTTGTGACATGCACTGAACTAGTCCCAGTAGGAAGTTCAGCAAGGAAGGTGCTCCCACAGACTTCCTCACCAGCAGCAACAAATCCTGCTGCTCTGACTCCTTTGGAAATCAGTAAAAAAATTACAAAATTTGCCATTTCAAAGGTCTGAACAGCTCACAAGTGGGTTTTGTTGTGTGTATATACTGGGGGGTGGTGTTAAAGGATTTGGGGGATATTTGTGTTTTTCCAGCTCGCTGAATTTTGTCTTCAGTGTCAGAATGGGCTCTTACATAAGACTTGTTATTTTTGTAAGCAGAATGGAAAAAAGCAAGGGGGCTACAAACTGATTGTTAGATAAACCCCATCCTTAACTGCAAAATGTCCAAAACCTGTCAGCTACAGCAGCAGCCCCATCTGAGGTGGGGGACTGCCAGCCCTTGGGTGTCCCCCCCAATGATCCCATCCCTCACCACACACACGGCACAGTAAATCCTCACCAGGCACAGTTCAGCCTGTCCTTTTAGATCTTTATTGTGAGAGGGTGGAATTTGGCCACTGCTGAGTGGATTTTGGTTGTACCAACAGCTCGTTTCTGTCCCTGTGATCCAGGAGCTCTGAAGCAGGTGACATGAGCTTTGTTTTACTGGTGTTTGTGAAGCAGGAGTCTGTGTTTGGGATGTCTGGGCTGGTGTAACAGTTCACTGCTGCCCGGAAGGGTGAGCTCACCTGCCTTCAGCTCTGGTGATTCACGTGTCCTGTTTGTGAACCAAGTTCAGCTCACCCAACTGCCAGGAAAAACAAAACAAGCGCCAAAAAACCAGATACTTTACAGGCTTGGTCGCTTGCTTGAGGGCAGAGAGGCAGAGAGGGCGTAAGAGAGGGAGCAGATGTACCTGTTTTCATGGCAGTGAGGGATTAAATTACTAGAATTCTAAGGAAACCTCAGTTTTCTGTGGTGTTCACTGTAGCTGACAAGTGTTACTGGCTGGGTGCTCAGCAGCACTCCAGCCTGCTGGCAGCAAGCCAGACACGTTCCTGCCGTGCAGGGAAACTGCTGAAAAGAGTAAAACCCTCCTTTTCTGCCACTTCTGCAGGCGGCCTGGGCATCAGAAACACCCGGCACAGTGGGTGGGGACAAACCCAGGGGTTTGAGTTTTAGAGGTTTCTTGTTGCCAATTTGCGGTAACACCTCTTGTCCTTCTGCTGGGGCCCCCCAAGCAGAGCCTGGTCCAACCCCTGCCCCTCCCTGCAGACACCGACACACACGGATGAGGGCCCCTCCCAGTGGCTCCTGGAGGCTGAAGAGCCCCAGCTCCCTCAGCCTTTCCTGCTCCCAGACATGCTGCAGTCCCTTCGGCATCTCTGCAGCCCCCACCGGACCTGCTCCAGGAGCTCCATCCTGTGCCAAGGAGCCCAGAGCTGGATTCCAGATGTGCCTCACAGCGCTGGGCAGAGGGGCAGGATTCCCTCCC